TCCCCTGCTCATGCTCTGTCTCTCTCAAAAATAAACATTAAAAACCAGTTTAAAAAATCCAGTGCAGAAAGAGAGTGTGGACTGATCCACACTTGACACTTGAACACCATGGGGGTTAAGGGTGCCAACTCCCTGTGTATTCTCGAAAATCTACGTGTAGCTTTTGTCTCCCTAAAAAGTTAACTGTTGGGGAGCCTGGCTGGCTCAGTCAGCGGAGCATAGAACTCTTGATCTCGGGGTTGTTAATGCGAGCCCCACAGTGGGTGCAGAGATTACTTAAAACTAAAGTCTTCAAAAACAACAACAAGAACAAAAAACTACTGATAGCTTACTGTTGATCAGAAGCCTTACTGATAACAAAAAGGGCTGATTAACATATTTTGTATATCATATATGTTATATACTGTTTTCTTACAGTAAAGTAAGCTAGAGGAAAAAAATGTTATTAAGAAAGCCATAACAAAAAGAAAATATACTGTGCTGGATTGAAAAAAACCGTGTGGGGGCACCTGGGTGGCTCAGTTGCTTGAGCTTCCGACTGTGGCTCAGGTCATGATCTCATGGTTTGTAAGTTTAAGCCCCACATTGGGCTCTGTGCCGATAGCTCAGAGCCTGGAGCCTGCTTCACATTCTGTGTCTCCCTCTCTCTCTCTCTCTCTCTCTCTCTCTCTCTCTCTCTCTCTTTCTTTCTCTGTACCTACCCCGCTCATACTCTGTCTCTGTCTCTCTCTCTCTCTCAAAAATAAATATTAAAAAAGTTATTTAAAAAAAAAAACACATGTAAATGAACCTGCAGTTCAAACCTGTGTTTTCAAGGGCCAACTATATGCAGACGGGATTGAGAAGTTAGCCAATACATGTCAAAGCCAATATATAGCCAATGTTATAGACTCTAGGTGGGCGCATCTGGGTGTTCAGTCTGTCATTCTTTCAGCCCTCTTGCAGTTGAAAAATTTTTGTAGTGAAACGGTGGGGGATCCAGTCTAGAAACCATGGCATCCAAGAAGCTTTATTCACTGCATTAGGAGTGCCTGCTATTTGGGGTACATTTGTTTTGTTTTGTTTTTTAATGAACATCTTTTTTTTAACGTTTTTTAATTTATTTTTGAGAGTGGGGGAGGGGCAGAAAGGGGGACAGAGGATCCGAAGCGGGCTCTGCGCTGACAGCAGAGAGCCCAACACAGGGCTTGAACTCACGAACCACATGATCATGACCTGAGCTAAAAACGGACGCTCAACCGACCGAGCTACACAGATACCCCTGGGTACATTGTTAATAATGAATCCTCAGCATCTTTTTGCTTAGTGCTCACTTACTGATGTGTGTGCTGGTTTTAAGTGTTAGCCCCTTATTTTACATGTGAGAGATTTGGTTCTAGTACTGATTGCTTCTAGCCTAGGTCTGTTGTTGTTTCTAAATTCAAGTTAGTTAATATAGAGTGTAATAACGATTTCAGGAATAGAATTTAGTGATCCGTCACTTACGTATAACACCCAGTGCTCATCCTAACAGGTGCCCTCCTTAATACCCATCGCCCATTTAGCCCATCCCCCGACCCACCTCCCCTCCAGCAACCTTCAGTTTGCTCTCTGTATTTAAGGGTCTCTTATGGTTTGCCTCCCTCTCTGTTTTTGTCTTATTTTTCCTTTCCTTCCCCTGTGTTCATCTGTTTTTGTTTCTGAAATTCCACATATGAGTGAAATCATATGATATTTAACTTTCCTCTGACTTATTTAGCTTAGGATAATACACGGTAGCTCCATCCTCATTGTATATGGAGACAATTCATTATTTTTTATGTCTGAGTAGTACTCTGTTACATATATATATATATATATATATACATATATATATACACATATATATATATATATACACACACACACACACACCACATTCTTACTCATTCATCAGTCGATGGACATTGGGCTCTTTCCATAATTTGGTTATTGTTGATAGTGCTGCTCTAAACATTGGGGTGCATGTGCCCCCTCAAGTTAACATTTTTGTATCCTTTGCATAAATACCTAGTAGTGGAGTTGCTGGGTCATAAGGTAGTTCTATTTTTAGTTTTTGAGGGACCTCCACACTGTTTTCCAGAGCGACTGCACCAGTTTGCGTTCCCACCAGCAGCACAAAAGTGTTCCCCTTTCTCTGCATCCTCGCCAACATCTGTTGTTGCCTGAGTTGTTAATGTTAGCCATTCTGACAGGGGTGAGGTGGTATCTCAGTGTGGTTTTGATTTGTATTTCCCTGATGATGAGTGATGTTGAGCATCTTTTCATGTGTCTGTTAACCATCTGGATGTCTTTGGAAAAGTGTCTATTCATGTCTTTTGGCCATTTCTTCATTGGATTGTTTATTTTTGGGGTGTTGAGTTTGATAAGTTCTTTACAGATTTTGGATACTAATCCTTTACCTCATATGTCATTTGCAGATATCTTCTCCCAATTTGTCAGTTGCCTTTAGTTTTGTTGCTTACTTTGCTGTGCAGAAGCTTTTTATGTTGATGAGGTCCTAGTAGTTCATTTTTGCCTTTGTTTCCCTTGCCTCCAGAGACATGTCTAGTAAGAAGTTGTTGCAGCTGAGGTCAAAACAGGCAGTTGTTGCCTGTTTTCTTCTCTAGGATTGTGATGGCTTCTTGTCTTACATTTAGGTCTTTCATCCATTTTGAGTTTATTTTCATGTATGGTATAAGAAAGTGGTCCAGGTTCATTCTTCTGCTTGTCACTGTCCAATTTTCCCAACACCATTTGCTGAAGAGACTGTCTTTTTTCCATTGGGTATTCTTTCCTGCTTTGTCAAAGATTGGCCATATGTTTGTGGGTCCATTTCTGGGTTCTCTATTCTGTTCCATTGATCTGAGTGTCTGTTTTTGTGCCAGTACCATACTGTCTTGATGATTACAGCTTTAGAATACAGCCTAAGGTATGGAACTGTGATGCCTCCAGCTTTGGTTTTCTTTTTCAGGATTGCTTTGGCTGTTCAAGGTCTTAACTAATTCCATACAAATTTTAGTATTGTTGCAGCGCCTGGGTGGGCTCAGTTGGTTAAGCGTCTGACTTTGGCTCAGGTCACAATCTCGTGGTTTGTGAGTTCGAGCCCCACATCGGGCCCTGTGCTGACAGCTCAGAGCCTGGAGCCTGGTTTGGATTCTGTGTCTCCCACTCTCTCTTTGCCCCTCCCCTGCTCATGCTCTGTCTCTTTCCGTCTCTCAAAAATAAATAAATGTTAAAAAAAATTTTTTTTTTGGATTGTTCTAGCTCTATAAAGAATGCTGATGTTATTTTGATAGAGATTGCATTGAATGTGTAGATTGCTTTGGGTAGTGTTGACATTTTAATATTTGTTCTTCTGATCCATAAGCATGGAATGTTTTGCCATTTCTTTGTATCTTCAATTTCTCTCATAAGCTTTGTATAGTTTTCAGTGTACAGATCTTTTACCTCTTTGGTTAGGTTTATTCCTGTATATTTTATGGTTTTCGGTGCAATCATAAATAGGATCAATTCCTTGAATTCTCTTTCTGCTTTCTGCTACTTCATTATTGGTGTATAGAAATGCAACTGATTTCTGTATGTTGATTTTATATTCTGTGACTTTGCTGAATTTATGTATCAGTTCTAGCAGTTTTTTGGTAGAATCTTTTGGATTTTGCACATGTCATGTTGTCTGCCAGTAGTGAAAGTCTGACTTCTTCCTTACCGATTTGGTTGCCTTTTCTTTCTTTTTGTTGTGTGATTGCTGAGGCTAGGACTTCCAACACTGTGTTGAACAAGTGATGAGAGTGGATAGCCTGGGGTCTCTTAACCCTTTTTTCCCATGTACTTCTTAGTGTACATATTTTAAGAAGTCATTTACATTTTATTTGTAAGTCATGTGGTACATATCCTTTATATCAGTAAAATTAATGATAAACTTACATGTGCATGAATACGTTCTCAGAATGTTTTTATTGGAGTGTTTAGTAGTCTGTTTACATTTAATGTTGTCATTGATATGGTTGGATTCAGAGCTGCCATTTGCTATTTGTTTCCTGCTTATCTCACTTTTTGCTCCTCTATTTCTCTGCCCACTCCTCTTGTGTTATTTTTAGTATATTATTTTAATTCTTCTATAGACTTGTAGCTTTATTTCTTTGAATTTTCTTTCTTGGTGATACTATAGGGATTACAGTATACATCTTTATCATGGTATGTATACACTCTTACTTCCAGTAAACTATAGGAATCTCATACCATTATAGCTCTGTTTCTTCCTTGTCGCGTATATTACATCTTTATGTGTTATAAATCCAACAATACAGTGTTATAAGTTTTGTTTTATTTTTTATTTTTTTAATGTTTACTTATTTTTGAGAGAGAGAGAAAAAAAAAACATGAGTGGGGGAGGAGCAGAGAGAGAGGGAGACAGAATCTGAAGCAGGCTCCAGGGTCTGAGCTGTCAGCACAGAGCT